AAAAAAAAAAAAAAAATGCCATTGAAGCTGACCCAGGCACTAGAAATTCTCACATAATGCTCTTCTTCAGAATTCTATCCCTCTAATTTCATTTAGAGGGCCCCACAGTTCATTTTTATGAGCTTCTGCAGTATATTTTCCTTAGATAAATCCTTACAGTCACATCTGGCCACATATTGGTGACCTGAGTCCTTCTAAAGCGTGGACAGAGAGAATCTTATCCTAGCATGTTTTTGACTTCTCTGAGTACAAAAGCACAGTGTATCATAAACCTGAGAAAATCTTGTTCAATAGTAAAGGCATTACTTTAGAGAGTTGCTAGAGCAATAAGTTTATTTTTGCCACATCTTGCCTTTCTGTGTTCCTGCCAGTGTTTACCTCCATGTTTCATAGCTGAGCCATGGCACATTTTTATAACTCTGCCTGAATGAAGGATGATTGCAATAGATTTTGTCCAACTTTTTTCCTGTATTTTAACACCATAGTATAATACAAAGTATAATAGTCACCAAATATTATCTGATTATTGCTTTGATCTTCCAGAGCTAAGACTGGATGAGCTGACAATCCAAACAATTTTAGCACTTACTGTAATCAGGGTATATCTGTAATACCACTGAAAATTATTAAGGTTTGCATGGTTATCTTTTTTAGCTAAAAAGAAGTCTTATAAACTAAAAAAGACAGATGAGTAGCAGGCTATAAACGTAAATATAAATAATGCAAGCTTGACAGCTTCATTTTGGCAGAACTTATGAGCAACTCTGCTGGTAATCCAGGGTTTACAACCTCTTGAAAGGGATGACAATGAGCAAGTAGTGGGAGCAGTGGTCCTAACAAGTTGTTCTAGTGAAAAATTGYATCTGTCCATCACCAATGCCTTTACCATACTTTTTAACTCTACATAAATATACACCCCAGATATTAAGTTAATTTATTTTATCCTTCTGTTCAAACTATACAAAAAGAYTTCAGGTAGTTCAAAATGTGATGGGTATTTTAAGCTTCCTGCTTATCTCATGTTTCACCAAATGAAAAACAAAATTTGCAAGCATGGTGAATTTTCAGGCATGTGATTTTCTAGTAATGAAGAGTTCCACCTCCTATTACCAATTTACTATTAGAAAGATCACCAGATGTATGTTTGCAAGCTAACACTTACCCTACACGTGACAATTTCTAATTCCAGTGTGTGGGCTTTTTTTGCACTTCACAATAGAGGAATCTGCRTTACTCTGGGAAGCAATTTTTCAATATCACAGCTTGTGAAAAAGGGTCCATTTTAATATTTTAGACTGAATGAATAAAAATATTATCTGTTGACTTATAAAAATACAATACTAGTTGTGTAAAACAGAGTAAGAGGAAAGTTTCTTCTTACTATATTAGATTTATACAATTACAAAATATGCTTTCAAATTATGAGATAGAGTAACTTCAAATAGGATTGTGAAGGTTTATGCAAAATAAGTATACTGATAAACATATTTGCAAAGAGACACTGAAATATACTTTTGATCAATCCTGATGAGTGGTAATCTTCTATGAACTGCTTAAATATTTTGAATTTACAATATAAAATACAATTTCAGCTTTTCAAATGTTAATTATTCTACCTAAAKTCTACAGAAAATTGCCTGCAGAAAATCATATGCAAAAATGTGGTGTGTTATAATAATTACGCTTTTTTTTATTGACTGAAACCAAAGAATAAGAACTGAAAAATTTTCTAATTCTTGTTTCCAGTTACAATAAATCATTTTACATACAAAATATTTTGTGGATTTTTTTTTTTTTTTTCATTAGTAAACTGCTTAGGTGTGTGAAAGATGCTCGGATGTTCAGAGTGGAAAAATAACATTAATACATGTTATCTGAATCTCTGACTGCACTAATTTCCCTCTGCATTTTACAGACTCAGCAGGTCTGGGAATGCCCACCAGTTACAGAAAACAAAAAGGGGCTCCTCTTGTTTACTCTACATGACCTTTTTTTTTTCTCTATTTGGAGTGAGGTAGGTACAAAAAGCAAAAACTCCACATGGACAGAAAATTAACTTGTCAAACATTTCCTTTCTCATATCACAGATTGTTCATTCCGTGGGTCAGAGAACCATGAAACACTTTGATAAATGAAAATAAGCATCCAGCACCTCCCCCCACATCAAACCTACAAAAAAAAAAAAAATCCAAACAATCCCCAAAAAGCAGATAATACACTATATTTCTCAGTGTGTGTATTTAGCTCACAGTGACCACTGATAACTAATGCCATCCCGATTCATTCATTTGAAACACGTTGGAATGAAGACATAACCCAGATGCACTGCTGAGTATTCTGATTTTTTAATATACTTTTGCACATGTTCCTCTCTATATTCTGTGACTTTCTAAATAGCTCTCAACAAAACTTTTCCTGTGGATCAGCAGAGACAAAGACATTGGTAATGGTTACAGAAGGGACAATTAGCTATTTCTGTAACAATGTGTGTCATAAATATGGGCATATTTATAAATTCTCTCATAATCTTTTTTCTCCCTTTTTAAAATGTAGATGAAGTGTTCATCTTAAATTAGCTTGTGTATCCAGTACTGTGAAACTAGGTTTTTTTGTGATGTGATAATCAAAATCTTGATGTTTGCAAAAATTTTCACATAAATTTACATGGATCACTGCTACTCTAATTTCCAGTAAATAAATGAGTAAGCAAGCAGAGATTATGTCAGAGCTCTGTTGCATAATTCTATTTTGCCTAAATCAYGTTCCTCTAGCTTACACTTCACCCTTATTTAGTACTCAATATTTATCAAAAAAGGTGTTAATGGCACATAACTTCTTCATTCAATAAGTATTTTTTTTTTAGTATGCATTCTTAGTATGTCTGAGGCTAATTCATGACTTCTCTCCAAACTTATTAATATAAAAGATAAGATGTCAGTATTCTTTGATGTAAAAAGAAAATATCTCAAATTATTAAATTCAGGAATTGATATGGAATGGCAAACAAAATATAGAGGAAAAAGAAAAAAAGTTGCTTTAGAAAAAGAGTTCCTTAAAGGTTCACATTTCTTATTAATTCAATTTTAATTTACTACATTTCCTGTAAACTGCAGCTGTTTTCATTCTCAACTCTTTCTAGTAGACAGTAACTCTTCAAGTAAGGCAGACATATAGTCAATGTAAGAAGAGAGAATCAATGGACACAGCAAATTATATAGTGATATCAATGCATTTCTGCATTTAGAAGCAAGAAATAGCCAGACATCATTTAGATTTCATTTTATTTGCAGTTTACTTCTGTTCAACTATTGTTGCAGAAGAAAAGGGGAAAAAAGAGCAAAAAGAGCCACTTATCACTAGCGAGATGGTTATGAATAAATACAGTGAAACATTTATTTTGTTACCTGTATTCGGAAAGGAGGTGAAATAGCCTTTGTGGAGAAATTGAAGGCAAAGACACATCATGAGAGGGTAGACCCCATGTTTATATTGTGGTAGACAATCTGCTAATGTTTACACAGCCCAGGAGGTTTACAGTGTGGCTCTGTATCTTGGCATAGCCAAAGGCCTATTACTACAGCTCTCTTACCCTCATAGCAGCCACCAATATTGCTGTCTCCAGCAGAGGAAACCTGATGCCCCATGGTCTATTTGTCTGTAAGTACTTTTTAGTAGGTGTTAACAATTTTCTTTCCTTGCCTTTAAAGTGAAGAAAATATGTTGGGGGAGGGGTGCATTCTGGTCAAATGAACTCTTTTTAGTGGCACTGAATTGGTATATCTGCATGTTTTAGCTGGAGATGAAGATCATGCTGATTTCCACATTGTTGGGGTCAAACATGAATGAACCTCCTTAAGCATGTGCTGAGGAATCAGGATTGCACGGAGCAGCCATTACAGGTTAAAACACAGGTGCACATGGGTGGGCCAAAAGGTGCAAATGTAGAGTTTTAAAGGCAGAAATATTCTGTGGGAGGGTGTTTTCTGATGTTTCACACACTTATCAGACAGACAGGTAGGTGATTGAAATCTGATGTGGAGGACAAATGAATTTGTAGTCATGTCCTACTCTGAGGCCCAAACCCCTGACCCTCCAAACGCTCTAAAATCCTCATCACAGGGGACCAGCATCTCAGGAGCAGAGGTTCCTATCTGTCTCAGCTATTTCTATTTCCTCTTCTCAGACCATGACAGGGAGGAATGGG